TGCATAATTTGGAACCATTGCCCAAGTGAACTTGTTCCTGTTCTAGAAAAACAAATGGCAAACAAGGTCTAGGATCCGATCCCTAAAGTCTCCCCCAACTCAAAGTACAGCAGACTAATTGTCTCTCAAAATAAGTGCAGAGATTCTAAAATAAGACCTAGAAATAAAGTGATCTTGTTTCTGTAATGAAACTGATGGTTGGTCCCCTGACCGGATCGAAACAAATGCGTGTGCTGTATTTGTTCATCCCCATCGTTCTCTTTTTCTCCACCCTCCTTTCTATTTTTGTTTTATTTTATAGGTTCTTTAAAGGTAGCTGATGTTTTTAGCTGTCGCCGTGATACCTCTGACTCCAGGGGAGAAAACACTTAATAATAATCTCTCTCCTCTCTGCTCCCCCGGGTCCATCTTCATTGCTTGGGCTGCATATTGGAACAAGTAAGGGGAGAACAGAGTGAGCCTTAAACAAGTCTATTAGGCTTCCTACAGCAAGGAACTTGGGGGATGGAGAGGCAGCAAAGAAAAGAAAAAGGAGCAGGGAGGGAAAGCAACAATTTTGTAAACCCAGTAAAGGTCAGAAAAAGGCTTTTGGTACGTATGCAGAGGCTAGAAATCAAACCTCATTTCCTATCATAAGAAACCAGTTGTTTTTAGCAGCAGTGGTTAATGTACTGTATGTGAAAGATTTAAGACTCACTGGAAAAGCTTTGCTCCTGTTTTATTGGGCTGCTATTGAAAAGCCAACAGCATAACTTCAACTAGGTGCTTTGAGATTTCTTAATGGGCTGTCAAGGGCAAGAGACCAGGTTTGCGCTGTACAAGCTCTTTCCTGTACATTAAAACAACAGGGGCCAAAATGATCATATAGAGAAGTATGAATTACTGGATGCTTTCTCTGTTCCATATGGCCAGCCATGTCTTCGGCAATTAATCATGTTACAGAATCAGTTGAGTGCTCTCCGAAGCATTGAAGTCAACATTTTAGCTCTACCTGTGCTAGGCAAAGGGTGGCGAGGAGGTAAAGGGCTTGCCGGCATAAAATAGGGGAATGAGAAGCTACTGGCGCCGATTTCTGAACAGCCGGATTCCATAAACATTCCCAGCTTCTTTCCTCATCATTCCCTTCCCTCCTTCCTTAGCCTGCTTCCAAAAACAGGAGTCATTTTTCAACACCATCCAAAAGAAAAACAAGCGCCCCCCCACCTTACAAGAAAGAAAGAAAGAAAGAAAGAAAGAAAGAAAGAAAGAAAGAAAGAAAGAAAGAGAAAACGCCACATGTACCAGCAAAAGTTGTTGAGTGAAACCATGGATATCAGGCATGGTCTGCTAATCAGCAAAATAGGCTGACATTTCTGGGTAATGTGTCCAAATTACTGGGTGATAACTTAAAACATACTGTTGCCTTCCACCATGGAATTGTCAACAAGGCATCTCAATAAAGCATGAAAATTGTGCATGGAGAGGGCAGGAGAAACCCTACACTTGACATGGATCAGGTACCATTGACATACACCAATCAAGCTCCGGCTAACTTTTATGGCTTGTCAAGGTATTTTTGGATTCCCACAATAACAAGCCACTGGTTGGATCCAGGAACTGCCTTTTGCGAGAGGAAGCGCTCCACCTCACCTTCACTGCTTTTTCCTGCGCAAAAACACCACAGTTCACTTCCTTCGGTAGAAGGTCTCCGTTGAATAGGCTGCCGTCAGAAGGAGGGGGTGCAGAAGTCCATTTGCCAGTTATCCAGCATAAATCTGGATCCAAACCATAAATTATTACAAACTAGATAATCAACAGAGGTTGGAATAGGTCAACTTCATGACTTGTAAGCATAAGTTCATTCCACACACACACACACACACACACACACACACACACACACAGTTTGTTTGTTATTAATTAGTGCTCATTGAGCTGCTTTCCTTGAAGTGAGAAGAGCTTAGCAAGGGCTCAGAGGATGATCTTGCTAATCTCTTTGGAAAGACTAGCGAGTCCATTAGATCTCCTGGTGAAAACCTCATTTGCTGACAAAATAAAGTGGGACTCTGTAAATGGAACAATCCTGTTTGCTGGTTTAGTTTTCACAGCGAGGGATGTTTATGTGCAATGCCGAAAGTGTGAAATTGCAGCAGTGTCCCAAGGGAAGGATGGGAGAGTGGTCTTGACAAAAGCCCAGAGCTTCTTTGGGACACAAAGTTATGGATGAGAATAATGACCTGCAAGAAAACTGGTGGTGAGCTTCCAATGACAAGCCGTGCTTTGTTATCTCTCTGTTGGGTCCATTCAGGATGTGCTTTTGCCAGACAGGGAACAGAGGAAAGATAGCTTCAATGGATCCCAAACATTAGTGCCCTCCAAAAGTTCTTTGCTGAGAGACGGATGAGATAAGACAGACCTGCATTCCCTGTTTGTTTATTCTACTGACCTCCTGTCCCAATCTTCTCTCAAGGAGGAAGAGGGAGACCCTGAACCAAAGTTGAGTCCAGTTTTACAAAGCTGACAGCTTCACTCAGCATTGGGTCTCTCTAGACTATTATCTGTCATTAAGGGTCATTAAAGGGATGAAGAATTCGGAGTTGACCTTTCTTTGATAAGAGACACAACTTTCAGAAGAAGATCTTCACATCTTTTAGGGACAGGAGTGGTTTCGATGGATTTTTGTTTAAATCAGTGTTGATTTGAGGAAATAGCTTTCCCAGTTGATAAAATCTTTGACCAAATTTCTTGGACCCTTGACCTTTGATGGTCAGGGCACATCTTTTCACCTTCTAACCTTTATTTAACCCAGGTTCCTAAAATGAAGAGAACACTGCAAACTCTTTAATGAACCATATTTATTCACTTAAGCAGCAGTCCTGCTCATGTTCTCAGCACTGAGTGTACCCATTGGAGTCCATGGGATCCAGCCAACCCAACCACTTTTATGGGTGAGGGTTTTTTTTTTTTTTTTTGGTTAGGTGAAACCTAGGGTCCTTAACATTGATGGATTACAGCTCCCCTCATCCTTTACCCTTGACTAAGCTGGCTGGAGCTGATAGTAACTGGAGTCAAAACATTTGGTGGGCCACAGGTTCCCCTCCACCCAATGATTTAAACTTTTGAATACTACATTCTTCGCTATTGCTTTTAGAAATTGGCTCTTAGGGTGCATTATGAAGATGACTGAGATATAAATGTGCTGTTGTCCTTGTTGATGGCATCATCATGATCAGTAGTAGCATTTACTGCAAATTTCTGTTTTAACTATGGATTGGTACTTCCCACCCCAGCAACAGAAATAAAGCAGTCAGTCAGATACCATGTGCCTGTCCCCAAGAAGGTTCTGATAACCTTCAGGGCAAAACAAACCTCTATTGTGCAAGCCCTGAAAATGGCATCAAGCTCTGACACAGTCATCTCTTAACTGGACCCTACACACTGTACTTTCTCAGTGGACCCACTAAGGTCTTCAATGATAAGGGATAGATAAGCGTAGGGTCTTGGTCAGTTCAGAACAGAGATTCTCAGAAACTCTTGTAGCACCTGCGTCAATGGTTCACATCAGGCGTGGACTCCTGTCATTCCTGTCTGGGTCTCAAAGGTCCTAGAAACTTTCTGACCCCAACCGCTTCCTCTCCTGGTCCATGCTTGAGGAGTGGTGGCACATTCTTTCATCCTGCTCTGGATTGTGGATTGGGTCCATGATTGAAGCTCCATTAGCTGTGAGCACAGAGAAATGAGCTAGGAAGGATCAATGCACCACCTTCTTGGAGGGTCTCATAGATGGTGGATGGAAGGAAGGTACTTCCAGGAACTACACTGAGCATCCATGGACAATTAGGTCACTAATACAGAAGTTCTTTCAGCCCAAGGGTCAGGCTCAGCTTTGACTCTCGGGAATGTGCTCCAGTATTGAGCAGGACCAAAAACAGCATAGTGCGACATATTTTAATGTGTGGCTCTTACTTCTACCAAATGTCTGAAGCTGATGGAGATACATTTCAGCCTTTTAGAATGCAGGGAACGTATAAAAGCCAGGCAATAGCAAACCTTCAGAGGCATAGGAACCCTAAAGTGCTGGATTTAGGACTCCAGAAGGGCCAGATTTGGCCTACAAACCCCTGATGTAGCTGGACTGACACTATAAAGGCTTATGGAGGAGCACCATCTACCTCTCTCCAGGACTTAATCAGAGAGCAGTATGGTGTAGTAATTATAGTGCTGGAGAAGGACTTAGGAGATTCAGGGTCTCACTTGGAAGCTTAGTAGGTCTTTGACCCAATCACAGACACAGCCTAGCCTACCGAGCTGTTATGAAGGCAAAATGAAAACGAGGAGTTAAGAAGGTATAGTAATAAAAATGCATAGAATTTGGATACAGTAGAATTCAGTTCAAGAGAAATGGTACCATTTGGCAAAATAGGACATGCCTATATTTTCAGCCTCAGTATTGTTTCTCAGGTCTAATATTATTTTGTTAAACCTTTTGTTTATTGGAAGGGAATAGAGGAAGGAAGAGGGGGAAAGAAACTGAGCAAGATGTAAAACGTTTCTGAACAACGCTGCATTATGTAGAACACCAGCTTGTTTCAGGAGCGATTCAAGAAAAGTCAAGGTATTTCTTGACATTGGCTGGAGTGATGATGCAGGAGGCAAACTGTATTTCTATGATAATTTGCCCACTCAGGGCACAAGAAAAAGAATTCTGTCTGGTGGAAATGAGACCGAGACGGCCCGGTCTGTCATGTTACTTAGGGCAATGGAGCTTTAAGGCCTTACCTTACATTCTGCGTACTTTGATTAAATACCAAAGAGATGGTGGCCATTTTTGACCATCATTTACTGTATTGATTCACATGCCGCGGAACTGTAATAAAAAGGACCATTGATTTACTGTCCCGATTTGCTTATGGGCTTTTTAATTAATTTTATGCTTTGTTTCCTATGTTTGTTGTGTAATATTTATGGGGTTTTCTTTTCTCTCCCCGCCCCCTCCACTTTTCTCCTCTCCCACCCCCAAGACCAGTCTCCTACTTGGTGATCTCAGAAAGGAAGAACAGATGGGCAAACAAAGGAAGGAAAGAATTGTCCGCTTCTTGCCTCTTCTCACAGAACGTCAGGAGCTCCGGCAGGAATGGCTCGCAAGGTGAGGAAGTGACGGAAAAGGAAAGCATAACAGGTCCACTCCTTAATAATAAAGATAAATTAAAATGCAAATGCACAGGGAAGGTGGGGGAATCCAAAGGGTTTGCAAAGAGCTTCAGGCACCGTTCTGCAAGAGTCGTGAGGTGTGGTTTCAAAAGCTGCAGTTCTTTCTTTCTTATCCCCCCATTGGTCCTCTGGCTTAGTTCACCTGTTTGTGGTGTGTGCCCCCTTGGTTCGCAGGTGAGGGGTACGCAGGTGGCGTGTTCCCATGGTGCAGAGCATTCCTGTGCACATGGCACAGTAGAACAACCCGGGTATTTGACACACACTTTTCTGGGTTCAGGGTCATGTATTTGTGGATGTGTATGAGAGAGCGGGAGGGGGAGGGCTCTAGAGAAACATTCAGGTATATTTGAGCTTCACACAGTCTGAAGTTGTACAGAACTGAGTCTTTATCTCACTTGTCTGCTAGTGCAAAGCCAGATGTGTCACTGTGGTGGTGGAGTCACAACTGTAGGGATATTGTCAGCCAGAGCATTAATTTAGAGTTGCTTTCTTATAATACATTTTCATTTCGATAAAAAGGCCAGCTGAGAGCTCATCAAGAATCTTTCTGCTGGTTGTCTACAAAATATATTTGTGCATGTGCTGGTGATACATTTTTGGATGTCTGGAAAATGAGCACATGAGTGCAATGCATAACGGGTTAGACTTGATGATCTCCAAGAGCCCTTCTCAGTCTGTGGTTCTGTACTTACAGTCAATAATATTTGGCCAGGAGACAAGAGGTATCTATTTTTCTACATTTCTTTTGAAGATGATGACCGAGCATCCTTTGAGTAAGCGTTACTTGGAGGCATGTATGTTTCAAATGCTGTTAGTGCTTTTGCTTTCATATGTTGGCAGAAATTAGGGGCATACATTTCACCTGGTTTGCAACATTGTTTGTTTTCCATTTTCTCTTTTCTCTTATGGTTTATTTATTTATTAAAAGCTTGTGTATGCCGTCCACCACAAGCATTTCGGGATGGCTTACAAGAAAAAGAGAGGGAGGGCAGAGAGAGAAACTGAACTGAAGTGTTATGGTTAACAGGAGATATCCTTGTCTTTGAGTACTTCTCTTCACCTTCCTTTGCTACCATGTACAAAAAATACGCAACATTCCTCTTAAAAAATGCACAAAAGAATATCTTTGGGAAGGGGGAGGCTCTGTATTAACAATGATACAAATCAGATGGCAAGTTGGCCCAGTTCCGGCTTTGAATATATGAAGGCAGATGCCAGTGAAATTAACGTGAGAGCTGCTGTCGGATGGGTAGATTCCTGTGAGCTTTTCTTGGCATGACACCGGCTTCTGCCAGGATACCCCAGGTGCGTCATGTCCAATTTAGCAGTTCAGACGGCCACTGTGCATAATGCGCAATTGTCCCCGGTTCCTTCGAAAGGCCGTTGCAGCAATCAAATGTGACATGACGTTTCAGTGTGATGCGTCTTTGTGGATTTCCAGGACTCTGAGGAGCGTTCCCCCCATGAGTGAGCACACTCGCTTGTGGTGAAGCGCTTACAAGAACATTACTTCACCCTACCCCTAAACCAATCTGAAGCCTTCCAAACCAATGCCCTGTTCTTCCTCATTATTTGTCTAAATTCTGGTTACGGAACAACACGCTTGCCAAACTGGTGAACGGTATGGTTCCTGGCTCAGTGATTCTTTTATGCTTGAGAACATGCATGCCCTATAGAACAGGGATTAGAAGTGTGTGTTTGCATGTGCAATAATGTATATTTGAAAAAAGAAAACAGAAGGCAACAGTGGATCTGTGGAACAGAACAAATAATAAACAGTTGGTTGGGCTGAAGAAGTGGGTTGGGAGAAATTGAAGTCCTCTTGGAAAGAATTTGCTTGCACTGTTTTCTGGCCTTTCCATACAACTACCAATTTACTCAGAAGCTGCTGTCAGTAGACATAATTTAGCCCCGAGAACAAAAATGTTAAGTACTTTGCAGGCACCAGAGTAGGGTGGAGGCCTGGGGGAGAAGGGTGACTTAGCAGCAGACAAAAAGCAGGCCTCATTAAAACTAAACACCTGAAAGAAAATTTCAAGAATATGGTGTCTTGAAAGCCTTCGAAAGACAGTGCCCTAGAGTATTAAGTAACTGTAATCGGCTTTCCCTTCCCCAGCTCCATTTGATGTTTCCCATTACATTGACCTGTCTTAAAGTAGCTCATCCATATGATCCACATAAGCAAACCTTTACCATACACCACACTTTTGCCTCATCAGAGGTTCAGAGAGATGTCTGGAATGAAACGCCGTTGATGGTAGTCACTGAATGTCCACAGCACAGCATGGTGAAAGTTATAAAACACAGCCCTGGTGAAGCAAGCCCGTGTTTTAGAGATCAGCCTATTGTGTACTTTGGAATTACACGAGGAAAATGTGCTTCGACAGGAAATAATTAGCGCTTGTCAAAGGCCAAGCAATAGGTTATAGTATTTTACTTTCAGCAAGCTATCAAGGGATCAGCTAGATTAGATAACAGGTTTTTTTCTTCTCCCACTCCCCGTCTCTGGAAGTTAAATACAGATGACTTTAATTACCTTACGCTGCACATTAGAGACGATGTATGATGAACAATGGAACTTTGAGAAATTTAGGTCAAGTGGATGAGAGAGAGAGAGCAGCCAGAGGTTGAGGGGGAAAAAAAAGACAAAAATGACTCTGTAAGTCTTCTTGTATTTTCAGAGCAAGGGAGAAAAACTGCAGTCCATGGGCCAAATCCAACCAGAATAGGGTCCTTCTCTGGCCTGGAGGAATTCTCCAGGCGGCCATGTCCCCTTGCATCGGCCCCATCCCCTCTCCCTGGCTACCACTTTTGGGGTAATTGCCTGGGTTTTGTGCTGCACCCCCCTCCCCAGGTGAAGGGTTGAAATTCCTTTCCAAAGCCATTACGAGTGTTAGTGAATGTATACGAGCGTTTTTGGTTTGGACCGAGCCTGGCTCTTGCCGCCACTGGAAGGCATCCTCTGAAAATGGAATGTTGCGCTTGGGCCAAAAGGCATCTTCCGTGCCTTTTTGTTCCTCATCTGCATTTTCAGCCCATAGCATTTGGTATCAAGGCTGCTTGTGGCATTCATCCAGGCAGCATTCCGAGCCTCGGGAATGCAGTGCTCTGGAGTATTAAGGAAGTGTCATTGGCTTTCCTCCAGTGGATGTTTCCTACCATGTTGACCAGCCTTGAAGCTCTTCATCCATGCACTCCACTTAAACAGATTGTTATCATATTCTGCACTTTCACGTCAGTGGAGAGAGACCAGACGGAGGCTCCAGCAGAAGGCCATGTCCAAGCAGAACCTCGGAGAGCTCCGTGCCGTCCTCTGTTGGTGCCGTTCTCCTCCTGGGAGACTCTTCTGTAATCCCAATGGGCTTATCCGATTTTTCCAATGGTGATGGGAGAATGTGCTACTTTCTAGACGTCGGACGCGTGCAGCTCCCAGCAATCCTAGCTGCAGTGCCCAATAGTGAAGGAGGATGGAAGTGGCAATCCAACACTTTGAGCTGCCATGTTGTAATGTACACATTCCACGTTATGCTTCATCTTTTTGTTCGTGTGCGTGTGTGCACACACATGTGATTTAAAGATTTGGATCCATCTTGGTTTTCTGTAAAGTTTACAATTGACCAACTCTTTGATCTGGTCCACATTTCCAGGAGAACCTGATGTAGTGGCCGGTTCATTGGCAGATTTTCTACATTCCCAGAATGTGGGGCATTCTGGGAAATGGAAAGAGGGAGTTCTTCAGGGGGATGCCAGAGATACTCAAACTGTCCCAGAGTTCACTGCTTGTTTAAAGCACCTTCTGTGGCTTAGCACCCTGGTAAACAGAGAGACAACAGTTATATGGAGAAGAGAGAGATATAAATAGTTACTGAGGACATGAATACACTCCGAGTGTTAACAAAATCAACCCAAAGGTGCCTGAAGGCTGCTGTTTGTTTATTCTGAGAGATAGGGTCTGATGGGCAGATTGTTATAGCTGTTAAAGAGCTTCTTGGGCCCTTCAAACTGACCTCCGGCTGACCTCTTCTTGCCAGGGGTCATCTTTCTTTTAATAAAGAAAAGGCAGTTTCTTATATTCTACTGTAGCATTAGAAAGCCAAAGAACCCAGCTCTGAATTTCAAACCAGCCACGCCAAAGGGGGAGAAGAAAAAGAAGGTGAGGGAAAGTTGTTGGCTTTTAGGGTCACAGTTTGATCATGAAAATTATTACCAAATTGTATGGAAGCTTAACTGCAATAAGCAATAAGGTGGGCCTAGTTTATTTGGTTTGATAAATGGAGTGTGAAGTAGCCCATCTGGCATAAGACAGCTCTTTCTCTCTCTCGTGCTCTCTTTCCCCCTGTTTGACCAAAGGGAAACATTTAAAAATAACCATGGTACATATAGAATCAATGACCCATAAGGAGAGCTGGAATAGATTAAGATTTAATGGTGACCGTGGAAGGAAAGATCATGTGATCAGAGAGACAAAGAGAAGATGAGAAAGTGCTGCTTGAAACCTTGTGCCTTTGATTTCAATCTATGAAACCTGTACACTGCAATCCTATGTATTTACTCAGAAGAAAGTCCCAATGAGTTCAATGGGATTTACTGCAAGTCGGAATGCATAGGACTGCAGCCTCAGTATTGCATCCTGCCATTTTAAAATCAAGATTAACATTGTTTTAAAATCTTTGAGCACAGAGGCAATTATTCTTTTGATGCATGTTAAAGGTGGCAGGAGATAATTATTCTGCCATTTCACTGGTAAAATGGCCCCCATATCTGGGCTGAGTTTTTATAAGTAAAGGTGACCCATTAGTAAAAAGAATTTATAACAGAAAAGAATAAGGAATTTCAGTTAAAAATAGATAAGGGAAGGGGGCCAAAGTAGTCTGTTCTACTTCCTCAGGTATTTAATATGTGCAAGCGGGAAAGGCCCAAGCAGGGCTTCAGTGG